CTCATGGCACATAGAAAAACGTAAAGCAACGTAAGCAGTAAGCAAATCGGCTAATCACAGTAGAAAATTTAAGGCAATCTTTACGTTCTCTACTGTGATTGACCAATTTACTTACTGCTTATGTCTTACTGCTTTACATTTTTCCACGTGCGTGGTAGACCCCACGCATTAGACCATGCATGGCTTTACCGTGCTAAACTAAATAATTATGCTTGATGTTGGCCGTATAAATTTAAGTGATTGATGGGCCTCCCTTTTTTTAATAAGGGACTTTGCAAAAGAAGAACTTTTACCACTTCACGCTCAATCAATGTATGATTTTTATAATATAATTACAGTTATATATTATTAAAATGCAGCAGTTTAATATAGACTTAAGAAAAGTATGTATATTAATTTACATATCTTTTATTTTCTTTCAGAGCCGAAATATAATGTCTGAGCTTATACGCGTAACGTACGATGGCAATCCACCCTGTAAGCGAGATTTGATTCCCATAGACAATGAGAATTATGTTGACTTTGTCGAACAATTTGTGAAAAATATTCGCAGCTTTAGTTCTCAGTATGGTGCCAGATGTACTAAAAATCTTTACAATTTTACAACTATAATTGGGCTACCTAATTATGTTCCAAAGTTTTTTGACATGCAGATATATATATTTTCTTGCATCATCTGTTATTGTCCTATAGAAAACTATCAACTTTTCTGAAATAATTATCTCATTTCTTTATTTGTAACTGTTCAAGCAATGCTTTTCATAAAAGAAAACCGACGAAGTATTATTAAATAGGACTGGTCAAAGGCAAATTTTCGTGACTATCATGAGTGGACTCACTTGACTGTCACGAAAATTAAAACTGATAATAAATAAATATAATGAAAGTATAGAACTGGTACCCTACAACATGATTACTCACACAGAGACAATATTTATCTTATTTGCTTTATCATGCAACATCCTATTTCCAATAATAGCAATCTAATACTACAAAATTTTATATTTGATATTTTTCTGGTTTATTTTTTAATATAGAGAATTGGCTGGATTTACAAACCCAGATGGGATGATAATCGTGTAGTCTGCAGATGGGAAGAAGCACCCTCAAGATCAATTGATTACATACCACAGAATAATACAGATATTGTGAGCGAAGAATATATTGGTACGTAATATTTGAATTGTGATAAATAAGAGATTGTAAAAGAAGATACATCTCTGTTGACAGGAGAAATTATAATTGTTTTTTTTCTATTTTGAAGATATTGAGTATTATGAAGCTGTATATCCAATTAGAGTTTCTATATACGAAATATATTATCCTGGGACAGTAATTCGAATTTGGGCTCTAGATCCTAAAAATCGATGATTTTTATTGTGGAATGGACCAACTCAGATTTCTTTCACATCACAGAATACCACGGAACGAAAGAAAAAGCGGATATTTTCTCCGCCTTTACAACCATGCAACTTTAGGACAAAAATACTCAGACTAGAATTTAACTACGAACACTCATTCGATTGTTGTACAAAGCTAGATGCTGTGATGCTTATTGGTACATCAGACTTGATCTTTCCTAAAGATCAATCCCACGAACAAAGTTTTACTAATCTATTAAAAAGCTTTAACCCCAAGTATCCTTGCCACAAGGACATCCATAATTTAACACCAGATTATAAAAATGCACAGTCGGATATAATCCATCTTAAAAAGACATTGAAAAAACATTGCATTATGTGTGAAAGGTATTACAATTTATCAATATTAATATTTGTTCTTTTTTTATTCTCTTAATAATGAAAATAAGTTTATATGTACTAATGTTAATTTTTTTTGTAGCGATGTAAGATATCTTAAAGAGGGGTCTAACAGTATGCGACGTTCTTCATCGGATAAACTTTCAAAGTTGATGAAGGACAGCAAACTCTCTTCAGACAGATCTAAGAAGCTATCATCTTATAGTCTTTCTAAGTTTCCTGTAAAGTATACTAAGAATTCTTTCTCACACATAATGATATTGTAATGTTATCTCATTTATTAAAATTCATATTTTATCTTGCAGGACGAAGTAATAATAAAGATATTAAGAAACTTAGACTTGAAGTCGTTATGCTGTGTAAGCAGCGTGGACAAACGGTTCAATAATTTAGTAAAGGATCCTAGGCTTTACACAAATGTGAATTTGAAACCGTTTTGGAATTTTATTACTTCAAAAGAGTTTAATTACTTAGCACCCAGATTTAAATATTTACAACGCTTGGATCTTTCAAATTGCCTAATTTTTATTTCACATTTAACAAAATTCTTTGATACCTGCGGTAATCTCTTAACACACTTATGATTAAATTATCATATACTACTCGACGACATCACATTGTTTAAAATTTCGAGAATATGCAGAAATTTAGAAGGTATGTATGCAAATGACATATATAAATGATTATTACGATTATAAGTGAATTGTTTATGATCAGTACGTGTATAAATTTCTTTTTAGAGTTGGGTCTACGTGATTGTCAATTAATAACAAACAAGGGATTCTCACATCTCGAAAATCTGGAGCTCCTCGAGCGTTTAGATCTATACAGAACATGTATAGAAACTCGAACTCTTTGCACGATACTGCAAAGAAATCTACGGATGCGTCATTTACGCTTAGGAGGCATGATGAAACTGGACCATCCGAATCTATTGCAAATGGACGAAATTGCAATGGAATTGAGAAACTCGTGTCCAGATTTGGAAAGTATAAATTTATGGCTGCCGTACGCTCTTACATCGCAAGGTATTAATGCCCTTGCTGACTGCAAGAATCTACGAGAAATAGAATTCGAAGATAATTGGAATTGGTACGTGTATGTGTGCGTTACACTTTCTCTTAAAATGCATGTCCTGTCGCGCTTTCCGCAGAGTGCAAATTTAAAATAGATAAAATCTGTTTATAGAATAAAGTCAATAAAGAATCTAAAACTCGTTAATTGTGAGTCCATTGCTCTCTCAAGGAGCGTCATCCCAATCTCTTAAAATTACATATTACATCATATTTATTATAATTTGTATGTTTGTTAATTCCTTTTGCACCTGAAACAGCTGTGTTTTTCTGTTTATGATTGAAGAGCTAATAGTCATATATCTTTTGTTTACAGTGGCACTATGATCGGCCATGGCGACATCGACTTCCGTACGAACCTTCACTGCTACTTGTTGAATTTTCCTGAGTCATGAGAGACACCTGTAGAAGACTCTCTGGAGGAAAGTAGACAATCTTGTTCAGTTAACTAAAGGAAAATAAACCCTCAAAATTAACGGTAAAAATACGAAAATGCAAAAAACGAAACATTAGCGATATTATATAGTTTCTCAATGGAAACTAAAGAAGGTGCCTAAAGCTAAAAACAAAGAAAATTAAAAAATATGCTTTATCCTTGTTAGAGCGATCATTTTCTATTCAGTGCCATTTATAGTTAATTTTCTTCGCGAATAATTTGTAGCACATAAATCACAGAAGGGACTTCTTATTAGTAAGATATATACACATACATAGATATTTATATATACATATATAGATATATACATTTTTATCAGTGAGACATATAGTATGTATATATCTCACTGCTTATTTACACACATCCATTCAAAAAAAAAAAATGTAACGACTGATGTTAGATCTAACTTATCTAACGTATTTGTTTATAATTTAGCGAGAGAAAGTTATCGGGTCGGATGAAAAACTCGTCTGTTTCGCCTCTTTCCTCTCGACGCTGCTTACTACTGACAGCTAGTGAATGACGCAACGCGTCATTTCCTCTCCTCTCCTCACTTATATCTCATACATACAGACCGATAACTTTTTCTCGCTGAAAGAGTATAGAATTTTAAGTTTAGATGTAAACCATATATGATCTTGAGAAAGTTATCTTTTCAAAAATTGCGTTAAAGTGCAGGTGAAAGAATAAAATGATTTGATGAAATTTGTTTTAATTACACATTTTATATTCAAATTTAATTTTTTTTCTACAAAAGTAACATTGAAAATTATATGCCAATTAGAAAATGAAAATTTACGCATAGGGTAATTTAAATCTTACGCATTATAATGTGTAATGAAATAGAATCAAGTAGTATTTTGTATGCACATATTTTACATTACGACATCAGGAAATACGTCGATTGCCTAATTAATTAGCTAAAATTTTATTTACCTATAGTTATAAAAACAAGTTTTGTGAATCGAGAATGCAGTTTCAATGATGCTATGTACTCTGTGCCTCTGCCTCATCTGCCAAAGAAAACCAATTGTAATGTTTCTATAAAATAAATTAATTCGAACTAGATTGTGTAAGTGAATATTACAAATAAATTTCAGAGCGCCTTCTACAGTTACGATTGGATCTTGGTACCTAATATTTTTATATAAATTTTTAAATCCATTATAAACTGCGCACCGAATCAATTCTTTTTCTTCGAATCTGGGACTTCTCGAATTTTCGGCATGTGATAATATTCAAACTTCGGCTGAGGTAAGTAATATTTCTTGCAATAATTTCATCGCAATGTTTTAAATGCTTATTCGCATCGGATTATTAAGAATTGAAAATCATCAATTGTGATCTCACTATTCCATCTTCAACTATAGTAATGATTGCGTTGCAAGTCCGACGTTGATTCGGCTTGCACTTTAAATGGCTGAATAATGGACATTTAAAAGTTTATATAGAATTTATATTAGGCACCAATATTCAGCCGTGACCGTAAAAGGTCTCAAATTTATATTTATGTTTCCATATATTTTGCATATATTCGCGCCACTGCGGTTGGATCCTCATGCAGATACCGGCGCTTTGACACCTGAACGCTGAAGTCTGAACGCTGATTGACGGAAAACGGTTAGTGAGGTTAGTAAATAGTACGAGATGCTTGCGCCCGTTCCAGCTGTATTAATGTAGTTCAGTAATTGAACCTGGCAAACTCGCTTCTATTTTCTTAAGTTAATCTTCGTTTTTCGTCGAACAAAACCAATAATGACAAGATTGAAAACTGATAACAATCGCACAAAATCTGTGAAATCTGGCACAGCTAGTTAAGGTTATAGTCGTCGATCTGGTGCAATTTTGGATCTGAGCGTTTTTAGGTGTATATCAGTGTATATATACTTGATTACGGAAGAGACGCCTGAATCTTAGCCTATTATTTACATTCCGTACCGGGTTTCTCGTACAACATGACTTCGTTTGTAGCGGACGTGCTAGCTACAGCAGGTAATATTTATTATCACACGTTTTATTTTGAATTGGACAATCATTGATACCGAATGCATCTCTATGGTTATGAATTTCCCACGCAGCATGAAATCATTTTTTGAAATATTTTAATTATATATCTCGTAAACATTTGTGAAACATTTTAAATTATTATATTAAAATATTTCACATAAATATTCTAGAAATGTACAAATATTGTAAGAAATATTCAAAAACTCTGATTTCCTAGGACATATTCATACTTCAGAAATATTTCAAATCTGACATGAAATGCAAGAATTTTGGAAATATTTTTGTAATATTTTATGCTGTGTGTGGATTAAAACAGATTTTTTGCAGCCAGAAATATCGTAGCCTTTGTAAACTATGTATTCGGATCAGCTATGCACGAAATTTATAACAGAAAATGTAATCAAGCAATATCTCTTGCCACGCAGGTAAACTTGAGAAGGTAAATCTTTATAAAAACATTTCTGAGATACAGAAGGAAATAACGAAATTAGAATATGAAGTTAAAGACTTCATGGACGACAATTACGTTGAGTTCAGTGCAAAGTTGACAAGAGACGTACACCTGGTTAAAAAGACGGAGCAGCTGCTGGAGGAGATAGGTATTTTGCAGAGCAGAATAAATGATCAAGTATGTTCTACCTCAAGCACTACCTGTCACACTACAGCAGACGTTTGAATTATCACTAACGTAATAAAATGTATTTTAATATAATACATTTATTATATAGGTCAAAATAGAGCTGTCTGGTTCGACGAAGGAGTTGAAGACACTCTCCCAGGCGTTGAAGGAGTCCAACATCAGCCTGCAACTGTCCCATCAGCTGATAAGCCTGCACAAGTGCATAAAATCTATAAAGAAGACACAGGAGGAGAAGCAGTACGTCGACACTGCCAGGACTCTGCAGGAGATGCAGTCTCTGCTGTACAATCCTCACAACCTCCTGCACGATCTCGAGATATACGCGGCGATCAAGGACGAGTACTGCAATCTCTACCGTTCGTGCTTGATGGAAGCTTCCAGCCTTCTGCACGATCGAATCTGCTGGAGCCACGACGTGAAGGAGGACAAAACAGTCAACTCCGTCACCGTTAAAAGCAAGTACGACGACATACAGGAATTGATGCAGGGGCTGCACGTTATGGATCATCTCGAAACTGAATTAGAAGTATTTTCCACAAAACTGATGGACATTATGATCAAGCCCATCATTTACGACCAGTGTTCGGTATACGTCGTCAAGGAGCGAGTGTTCACCGTCGAGATATTGGAGAAGAACAAGACGCCGTGTTACAAAGGTGTGCTGTACAACTTGAAGTTGCTCTTCAAGTTTCTCCATCAACATTTAAGCCTAGTCGTGGATAACGAAACCTTCCTGAGAAGATTGCAGCCGCATCTGCTGGAACAGTTGTCGCGTCCCTTGATAGCAGATTGCATCTCCCACACCATTCCTACTTCTAACGCGGATCTGAAGAACTTCGAGCCTGTGGTCGAAATGATTAACGAGTTTCAAAACTACTTGGTAGAAATTGGTACGTATGTCTTAACTATTCGTAAGTGTTCACTTTGTAGTACAAAATATTAAACGACGTAAAATTTCAGGATTCCTTTCCGAGGACCAGCTCTTCTTGTCAGAATACACGAACAACATTGATAAACTCTTCATTAATAGGATATGTCAGGATTTACTGGCCAAAGCTAGAAACATAATGAGGAAAGACTTGCATGATTCTGTTCGTTACGAGCCGCAGGTATTCGCTTGACTATTGTTCTATTAAAATAATAAATAAAATAAGAGCATTTGACCTCCAATTACATATCTTGTTCTGCTGTAGGAACCGCCTAAACTTATAAATAAAGCGTTTGAGAACGGTTGTGATTTATCCATTGAAAAGAAGTTAAGCGATGTGTCGTTTCATCTACCAAAATGTCAAATAAGGTACAATTCAATTAATTTTACATGTACGAAAATTTGAATTTGAATTCAGATTTGGGCAATCTGGCGTTCTATTTGTAATTCCATGACACTAAACATAAATATTACCAAATGGATTTTAGCAAAAGTGCACAAGAAACGCTAGAATTAGCGAGAACAATACTGGACGAGGCGTGTGATAGTTCGGATGCTTGCGCCATTAGATTATTTTACACATGCAGAAACGTATTCGAAATGTACGCCGGTTTGGTACCCGAACATCATAAAAAGTTCTTGGAAACGATACCGCAGCAAGTTGGTAAGAACATGTGACAGAAAAATGAACTAATTCTGGCCCGAATAAAATTAATATTACATAATTATTATAATTATGTTTAGCTCTGTTTCACAATAATTGTACGTATCTCGCTCACCATCTGCTTACATTGGCCCACGAATATAGAGACAGATTTTCGAAAATTGTACAAAAATTGAACCTGACATTCGCGGATCAGATCATGATACTTCGAGACGTCGGGTCGCAATACTTTCTAGACCACATGAAATATCAAAGAAATATTATCTTCGACATCATCAAAGATTCAGGTTTGTAATTCACTTGTCAGCTACCAATAAAATTGAAGTAAATTTCGCTAAAATTTGTTATGTTTATAATTAGGTTTCTCTGGACTAAGCCAAACGCCTCAGTTAGATCCCAACACCGAACGTGCACTAAGACAATGCATCAGACAATTGGAATTATTGAAAACCGTTTGGTTAGATGTGTTGCCTATAAATATCTACTGTAAAGCCGTTGGTCAGTTTCTTTATTCATTAGAGTCTTTTCACTTCACAAGTTATATTTTAATTTAAATTTTTTTTTTGAATATTTTAGGATGTATAACGAATTCTATGATTGACGATTTGTTGACGAAAGTCATATCAGCCGAAGATATTCCGATCGATGTTGCGACAGAGTTGGTAACTTTATTTAATATGGTTGTAAAACGAACGCCGCAAATATTTCCTGTAAGTATATAATGCAAAAAAAAAACATACAAAAAGATGAAGTATATGCACGAGAAGTTTATATGACAAATTTTTTATTGCATCTAATGTCATGTACATTTGATATGATAAAAAGTTGTTCGAGATAGTAGCGTTCCAAGTGGTTCCTGCAAAAATTAAGCCATAAAAACATTATTCCGTTTGATGAGACAGATGCGTATTAATTGGCATTTTCACTTCATAGGATCAACAGATTCAACAGCATGTACGGAAGTGGGGAAAGTTTTTGGAATTGATCAAGTTACTTGGCGCGTCACTGAAAGAAATCGAAATTAGATGGGGAAATGGGAAAGGGCCATTAGCACATGAGTTCACTGCTCCACAAGTCAAACAACTGATCCGGGCACTATTCCAGAATACGGATAGAAGATCTAATCTCTTAGCTTCTATAAGATAAAAAAAAAATGTAAAATTACATTTTCAAATATATGTAAACGACGAATGAATAATTAAGTATGTATCACACGTATTAAAACTGAATGTGCAAAACAGCCTAAGAAAACTGTCTAGAGAAAAGATAGTCATATAATTTTACATACTTTTTGTATAAACACACGTATTAAAAATAAAAAGAAAAAAATACTATACCTCTGTTTATTGCGAATTTTATATGCATATATATAAGATGACATTAAAAAGTTTATGTTCTAATCGATTAAATTATTATGAATGGAACTTTGATTGCGTAGAAAATTGTAAATATTAATAAAATAAAATTAGTAATTAAAATTATAAAATATTAATAAAAATTGAATTCTAGGTTCATAATCAAAAGAATAATTTTTAAAATTAATCTTAAATGGTTTTTAAGAAAAAATTGAGTTAAGCATCAAGATCAACTTAACATCGAAAAAATATCAGATTCAGGGAATACGCTTCTCTCTTTCTCTCTCCCCCAAAAAAATCTTACAATCTAATTTTCTATTAATAAAAATCGTATAAGAGCTTAGTCTTTAATTTTCGATGTTAAGTAAATTATAGCTATATTAATATTTGATATAAGTTAATTTCTTTTTTGTCGAGATACTTACGTGAATGCTTTCAACTTATAATAATAAATTTGCGTATGTCCAGATTTTGTGTCGGGTTTAAAGCGACAAATTCCGAGAAATTCTCTTTTTTTTTTGTCAAAAAGTCGATTAAAGTAGTAAAATGCACGAAGTAAGTCAGCGCAAACGCAATATTACGTAAAGAGTAACGTATCTAATAGTACTGAAATTAGCCTGTAAGTGGTATCGTAGAAGTATAGATAAATTAAGCAACCGTATTTAGTAAAAAAAATTTGTTCGCAGTGACGAAAAAAAAAAACATTTTAGATTACGTTATCATAATAAACTGTGATAAAATAATCAGTCAAGTCAAGTCAGTTAAGCAGGCAGACAGGCAGGCAGAGGGTGGCGGTCAGTAGTGAGCGCAAATCGTTTAATATATCAATTTCCAATTCCATCTTACAGTGGAGATACATCACTATTTTTTTTTTTTATCACTTTCTTATTTACGAGCATCTGAAATGACAAAAGTGGATGCTCGGACGTCTCTTTCCAAATGCAGTACTGTTTCCGCACGTATATATCACAAAACCGAAGTGTGGAAGCTATATGTCTTGTGGATGCGATCGCTTTAAGCCTCGCAAGATTTTGATCTTGTTGTTTGTGCGTCGAAGTTCTCAAGGTGCGACCTTGCCTTTCTTCGCTTGCACAATAAATTATATTAGCTTGTTATATGCGAGCAGCAGTTTGCATTTGGCTAGTGTATTGCGCGCGCGATTTACCGTCTCCTTTCCGATTCCATATAAAATCGTTTACCATTCATAGAACGTTTAAGCGAGCACACGTTTCTATCTAAATACGTGAGAATGATATTCACAAGATTATGGACCGTGTCGTACCGCAGTCTCTTAGAACTTATCGGAAAGCTGGAAATAGTGGAAATAGTAGCGCTAAGCCAAGCAAATCAACAAAATTACGAGATGCTATTATTTTAAACGGTCGTGAGATTATATGTATGCAAATGAATCTCGAAATCTCTATAATCCGTAAACCGAGGACCACAAAAATCCTATCGCATCTAAAAACGTGTGTAAAAAGAAAGGAGAGATCTCTAAGAAAACAACTCGCAGTAAGGTTTTTGAGTCGAAAGTAAAAATGATGATTGTAAATAGTGCTAGTCTCTATAGGTTACAGCCCCTATATTATTAATTACATCTTCAAATATTAATCGTTCGGACTTCGCGATTTGTGTTTTTGACTTCGCGCGTTTTTTACGCGAAGAATGCTTGCTTTTTTTTTTTTTTTTACGAGGGAACTTTCGAGTGTTCTGTTAATCATAGAAAACGTTCTCCGTAGCAGCGACCACGGGTTGTATGGGAGTGGTACAATGCTCGGAAAACATTGCACAGCGCAAACTGCAATGGTAGTTCTTGTTTATATACAGGTCGCTGTGTAGATTGGACAGAAATGAAGTCGTCGAAGGCGGGTGGCTGAGTGGCCCGCAGTTCAGATTGGCAAGACGCAGCGTAGTTCTTTTATGTGCATTCACGTAGATGACGATGACTGTGAACATGGAAGTGCAAAACAGTTTGTCACATTACTTCGCCCCCTTTGGACTCCCATTTGACTGAGAGCCGATCAGTAGCTTGATATTTTTTGTGCATGCAATTTAAATGAATTTGCCATTATTTAATGATATCAACGGATTCTCATGCACATAAAAATCTTTTTATGCAATTTTGTAGAATTCCTTCCGTATATAGTTTATGTAATAGGCCGAAAGCAACGTTGTGTTCGCGTAAAATGCGGAATCGCATCGTAAATTGTTTTTCCGTAAATTAATCCATTTAGGATTTTTTGCCTTGAGTTAGACAACTCTTTCAGACACACACAACTCTTGTTATATCTCGTGTCTTTTTTTTTTATACCAACACGTGATCAGACTATTTTTCCATTTATCACAATAGTTAATATTCTTAGAACCTCTCGTCGTTAAAATACCGTCGTTAAAAATTTCCTTTCATTTCAATAGCCTTCCTCCAAAAGTCTTTTAAACGATACGAATTTTTCAAAAATAAAACTCAAATATTCATTTTTTTTACGTTGCAATCATCCGTGCGCGATCACGAAGATCGTAGGATCGCAACACACGTCGCGAGATGCCTCTTAACGGAAATCTACTATCTAGAGAATTGCAATCTAATCAAATTCCGATCGTATCTTTCCAAATTCCTACAAAATGTTATTGTACGTTTGAGCTAGGGGAAAAAAAAACTCGCTAACAAACGTGACACGAGGTCAATATCAATTTAGATGATTTAGATGATGGGTACTCGTCAATACCTGCCACGGCCGGCGGGAGAGCGGCTTCGATACCTCGCTGTGCTCGTGTCCTTCCCGGTGTAGTAGTCGGCGCCGGTGTCCCCGCTACTACCACCGTAGACGTCCTGCGTATATCCGTCGCGCGTAACATACCCGCTGCTGCGATTGAACATATAGTCTTCTCCGTAACGACCTCTGCCCCTACTTCCGCCACCCCTGCCTGTATAATAGCTGCCTCCGTAATCCCCGTAAGTACTGCCGCGGTAACCCGCGGTGGTGCCGCCCCGTGAGCCGAAGTCCCTACCGCCAACCCCGCGACTCCCGCGGAAACCACCCGAGCCACCGCCCCTACCGCCACCGCGGCCCCTACCCCGCGATATCTCCACTCTCAACTTCGCACCCATGATCTCCATGCCGTTCAGGTTGCAGCACGCCAGCTCGGCCTCGTTCATGTTGAAGAACTCGATGAACGCGAAGCCCGGCGGGTTGAACGCCACCCACACCTTGTTCAGCTTGCCGTACTTCTCAAACTCCACCTGCAGATCCTCCTTCTTGATGCTCTCGTTCAACCCGCCCACGTAAACGCGCGTATATCCTTCCGGCGTCATCTTGCTGCTAAAAAAAAAAGGCAAGATATTAAAATGACATGACAATTTTTCTTCTCGAAATATGGAAATGGAATAATTTCTAAATGCCATCTTGGAATTTTTCAGCGCCAATATTACTCGATTGACTTTCAATCGAGTCGAATGACGTTAGCAATAAATTTCATGTACCATTTTATTCAATTTGGACAAAGAGCTTAATTGGGACTCGTGTTAAAATTAATTGCATCACTTGTACGGCGTTATTCAAACGTTTAAAACGACGCGCGGGCAAAATATCGCTTTTATGCCAAGTGGAATAACAAGTCGGGCTCGGATAAGCGGAACCGGATAGGAACAATCAAGGACGCATAATTGTATTCATAACATGCGCCTTTTGTGCGAGCCGAGTCATGGAGAGTCGCTCTTTGTCTCCACAACAATGCCAGCGAGCTTCGAGCAACTTCGACATAAGCGCAGAGACGCTCCGCGGCTTTTTCAGAAGCAGGTATCCGCGAATCGCGCTTCCTCGCGCGCGTGACCCTCGGCGTCGCGCGCGGGCCGCCGTCGGGGATCGCGGTGCGCGAGAGATACGTGGTGCGCGGTGACAAAATGATATCGCGGGTTGCAGCCAGCGCGCGGCCATGGCGGTATTTTTGTCAATCGGCGGCGAGAGACGCGGCGGCGAAGCGACGCCGCGCGGCCGGGGTCCCGGGCCCGCCGGACGTCGCGCGGGCGAAACGGGCCCGGTTCGCGCGCGGCGGCGAGGGTGAAACGGCCGGCGTCGCGTGAACGCGCGTCGGCGGGACGCGAGGTGTAAACAGCGCGGCGGCGAAGCGGGTTTACGCGCCAACGGGTTCGAAAGCTGCCCCCGCTGCGGTGCCTACTCACTCCGTCGCTCGTGGTCGCCCGCTGGTCTCTCACGATATTGGGGTTGCTCTCGTCGCCAATCGGCGTCAGATCGCCGACGGGGGAGACGGGTAGGAAGGAGACGGATGTCCTCGGTCGTAGGGAACGTGCACGCCGTGCGGCCGCGCAATCGATAGGAGCGGACTCACCGGGGTTCACAGCGCACAGAAAATCATGTCGGTCGCACTCGCGGTCTCCAACCCAGACGCCGCCACGGACGCTCGAGGATCGGGTAGAAGGGAAACTTCGAACCACGGCGTGAAGCTCGCGCGGTGGCAGCCGCGCAACACTGAAGGGTGGGAGGGGGGGGATGGCCAATCGCCAGCCTGCAACCGCGAACTAAAGTCCAATTGCGATATCACCGTGTACCCGACTTAACTAATTTTCGTACGTCGTGGCTCTGCCAGCGCGAAAAAAAGTACGAAACTGCCCCTAACCCCTTTCATCCGATTCAGTTTGTTTTCTTTTTTGTTTAGCTTAGCTTCTCCTGATCCTCTGCACTTTTTATACAAATTGATACAATTAAGAGGGAAACGTGAAAGACGTTGAAAGAGATCTAAGTTTGCCGAGGAGCCTAATGAAGTTACCAGAGAAAAAGGAAGTCAATAATTTTGTGTCAATAATTATGCTAATGAAGGAATCTAAGTTTAAGACAATAAGATTGTCAAATCCTAATTAAATAAAAAAACGAGAGGAAGTTTTGTGTCAAACAACTGTCGTTGAAGGAAATCGGTTTAAGAATGAGCTTAATGAAATTTGAGAAATATTAACGAAAAGAAGAGAAAGTTAAATTTAATTTGATTAATGTCTATTAAGTAGTTAAAGGCACTCAGGTGAATTCAGCCTGAATCTTCCTAAACTATGGAAAAAAAGCCTCAGATCCTCCATCAAACAGCTGATCGACTGTCAAACTGCGCTTCGTCAACTTGGTGTCGACTCTGAGTGATGTCGTAATATTGAAAATTCTCACATCAATATATATATTCTGTCACACGATTTTCGGCGCATTGAAAGTTCCTGCCAAGCACAAATTTTTCTATCTTGTAATTGCCAGTAAAAATATGAAAAATTCATAGAAAATTACAACGAATCTATCATACATAAAGTATCGTCTGTTGAACGTTACGACAGCGTGTAATCACTGCAGCGTAGATCGCTGATTTTTAGGCCTACATTTTTCTTTATCGCAATCTCAAAGCACTCGAGAACGTAACAGCAATACCTACTGGAGTGTTAAAGCAATATTCGAGCCTGAGCGAGAATGTCAGCGCACGTTATGTGCTTGACCTCTTCCGGAGGAATTCCTTTGTTCTCACGCCAAAAGGGGGACAGTGACACGGTATGCGTGCACATAGAGAATAAATAAGTTTGATTTTATTTTCAGTTAAATATGTTTAAAAAGAAGTAAGAGCAATGCTCCTTCGTAAAGAAATCAGATATTTCATGAGTTGAAAATTATTTGCAGATGACATTTTCGAAGATCGCATCCCTCAATGGAGTTCACATGTTCTTAAAATCACAGGACATCACTCTCCTGACTACGGATCTGCCGGACGTGACGGTGGCGTGGAAGGAATTCGAGCAGTGTATCATACTGATAGCGATTGCGAGCGGAGTGACAAAATACGTGCTGGACAAGTTCCTGGACGCCACTTTCGGCGCAATGGTCCTCTTCACCGGTATCGACGAGATAAAGAATACCAAGAATATGGAGAGGCTCAAGAAAGACATGCGTCTCTGCAGTCCTATTATCGACAGACTAATGGACTGCTTGGACATTGGGGACAAAATCTCGACGAAAACCGATATGATCAATATGACAGAATGCATCATATCTTCGGAAAGTCACTTGCTTCAGGTACTGAGATTTTCTTGCGTAGACGCGGCGTAAATGTAAAATTACACGCGATACTCAATAAGCACGCGTTCAAGACCTGTTTAGAGGGATTTATGGAATGTCTGAACTCGATGTACGGATGTATTTTGGTGCACGGTTGCGTGGCAGCTGCCACGGAAGGCTGGTGGTCGCTGGATCCTGTGGAAAGAAAATTACTGACAATAGCGATCACTTCAGAGAGTGTTTGCACCACGCGAGACATTCCCGTGTTTTTACCTTGTAAAAGTCCAAACGTAAGTATTTCAAAGAAATGTATGCGTGTATCTTATTTAATTTCTGAAATTTCTTAAGAGATATCTTAAGAGATTTCTTAAGAGACAAACTGAAGAGTGAATGATTATGTATAATTTCTGTAACTTCAATATATAATATTCTGTTTAGGTGGCTTTCCGATTGGTGTCTGTAACTCTAATTAATCACGTGGAAGTTCTGGCATTATGTGGACCGAGTCCAGAATTAATAGAAATCGAGAGATTTGCTGTGCAATGCTGGAAAAACAGTATGGAAGGATTGAATTCGGTTGAACAGTGCTATCCGCGAAACCTACCTACGTCGGTGTCTTTAGACAGCGAAACACTTGGGTAATTGGGACAAGAAAGTTATTCAGCTGCACAGCTATTTTGTGTGACTGATTATTACAACGTTCTATGAACATTTCAGATTTCTGCTGGCAAATTACAAGATAGAAAAATTCGTACTTGGCAGGAACTCCCAGTGCGCGAAAAATCGCGCGACAGGCTCGCACAGATTAGACATTCTGCGAACGTTTTATCACCAAGCGGTCGAAACGTTCGCGCTGTCGATCGAGCACGAGGAGAGCAACGACGAGACGCTAACCGCGAGCACCTGGAAATTCGTCGGTGCGAAGGAAACGTACCTGTGTTCCGAATATCACAAATGTCATGCTGTGAAACATGGTGACAATATACTTTGCGTTTTGTACACGTCTGTAGTGCCTACCCATACCATGAGACTGATTAGTCAGAAAATAGTAAAAATGATATTTAGCGATAAGCAGATATATTGGTGACTTCCATTTCTTTTTATATATTTATAAAATAAAATCTACTGTTTTATATTCTAATTTGATATGTATTTATCCCTTCTTTTTAGCAGAGAGAGAGAGAGAAAATATTACAAACACAGAGAAATGCCGAAGCGTTACTTAAGCATGTACATTCTTATTTTTCGCAAGACGTATGTAAATCCATTATCTTTTTTTTCTTCTTGAGAAAGAAGATGTTAAGTACAGTTGTTGAGAACGAAACCTGCAGTTACAGATTTAAAACTTTGTTTAAATTGCGCTTTCTACACTGCGTTTCTCTCTTCTCTTTCTATTACCGTTATTCAGACATAGATCTGTTTCGCTCTAGCTACAGGAGGTGCAAAGCTGGGACAATCGGTTTTTTTTTTTTTTTTAGCACGACACGCGCACGTGTGCTCCGTTCACGCGTTAATTCTGTTCCAGGGCGGGCGCGGCGGCTTCTCTCGAGTCGCATGGAAACGAGAGAATATTCTAGTGGTGTTCCGACTGCTGTTGGTAGGCTCGAAAAAATCGATAAGGGAGACGCGCGAGCCGACAAAGGCGCACGCGTCGAGCGTTACTGATGCGTGTCAGCTGTCCCGGTCGTAAGTGGAAACGAAAAGTACAGGTGTTCCTCCGCACCGCGTTTCGTGGTCTTCCAATGTAGAGCTACGATCGAGTGACATATTAAATGGCTTGCGACAACTGTACGAAGGTGTATCTGGGATACGAGGACGAGTACGTTGCCGACAAGCACCGGTCCCTGCTCAACTTCACGACGAACAAGATCGGCGGGCATCCAGTGAGTAGGGAACGAGAGGCCTCGGTATTCGCGGGAGACCAGCGTCTCCCCCGTCGCGATTCCTAATTTTTTTATTAGGTCGCTCTGCTGTATATCGCACGTCAAAAATTCAGCAGAAGAATAAGCATGAGAATATTACGATTTAACAAAGCACGCGATATTCACACGAACGACATGTGAAATATTAATAAATATGAAATGATGTATGAAATATTCTGCCATCATGGAAAATTATTATTTAATATTTTTCACGTTATTTTTCTCTGTTAATTATGGTTGTAAAACATCTGTTAATTGTAGTTAAAATAATTTCATCAATATTTTAACCGACATTACTTAACGTGGCTATTTTGCTCGAGGTATACATGATCATGCGTATAATAATTAATATATATAATGTTCGTTGCTTCTAGAACTGTTATGGGAAGAATACATTATCGTCACCACAATGCAGACTCTGTGGCTTGTATCAGCTCTTGGCGCTGCAACTGTACGCACCGTTAGATAACTCAAAGTACCATCGGACGCTATACATATTCGCGTGTATCAACTCGAATTGCTGGAATCAAAACGAGAGCTGGACATGCTTGAGAATACAGCATCTGGAGGATGAGGCCAAGACGACTACGCCGGACTCTGGGAGCGTCAACGTGCCATCCACGACGGCTTGGTTGGCGGACGCGGACGACTGGGGGGACAATGTAAATGACAATGCATCGGAACAGAATGGGAATAATATGTTAGAGAATGATCCGTTACAGTTTCACTTTTCCCTGCATAAAGAAATAGACCAGGATATACGGGAGGAGTTGTCCGTCCTGCGCGTGGATGATCCGAATGCAAATAGGTTTGTGTGTGTATTAAAATCAATCTTATTTACGAGCAAATAGTATACCTGTATGTAAATTTCTTCTCTTGTCTCTTCCGAACGTTACAGTCCAGCCAGCGTGGACTCGCCGATCAGCGGTGGTGCCGTGGGTCGTTTAGATTCCCCTCAAGCCTCGGCAGAGATCGACGGGGACGAGAGCGAGGTCGTGTGCATCGACACTCCCACGCGACCGCAATGTGATCTAGTTAGTTTACTGCACGAGGTAACGCCGTTGCAAATCACGAACGCGGAGGCCAAGTACTCGTTCGTCGAAATATTTCTCTCGGTCGACGAGGAGGACTGCAGCATGGACGTGTCGCAGCACGTTCGAGACCTGTTGGTCGAGTACCAGCACAGCAATCCGGACCCGTCGACCAAGTTCACGCCAGATTCTGGCAATCCTAAGACCATCGAAACGGACGTGGAAAAGTATGAGAAAAGCATTCCTAAGCACGGCGACGAGATGTTCCACAACTTCCTTTGCAGAATACAGAGGAATCCTGGACAGCTGTTACGGTAAAAATCTCTTTAGCGATGTTTCTTATGTCTAAAATATAGAATAAAAAGAATGTATATATTCTTTTTATTCATTTCTATTTTATTCTTACATATATGAGTTTTACTTTTTAGCTATTCGAGGGACAATTCTGCACCGTTACTGTTATATCCGCTGAGCGGTTGTATCGGCAAATGTCGGCATTGCGGCGACGAGATGACTTTTGAGCTGCAGGTTTTGCCGACGATCATACCGAAATTAATACTGAATCCACGAGGCGAGCGGAGTTTCCAGATCGAGTTCGGCACTGTTTTAATATACACTTGCGTTAGAAGCTGTTGGTCCGCGACCGATTCGTATCGGGAAGAGCATGTCGTTGTTCAAGCTGAAAGACTATAGTTGTAAAGAAAAGAAATATTAATAAGAAAAGTTACGAGTGAAGCCAAGGTTCTTCCAGTGATCCTATATAGAATTTCATATTTACGCGTCTAGGACGACTAGTCATGTTACTTCTGTAGAAAAATACCGTCCACCTCTTCATGTACACATCAAAAAGTCCTATGTAGCGAGCGATGGTTGATAATAGTAAAGGCGTTACAAAAACGTTATCTCGAGCTACATTAAGCGACATGTGATTCGCAATTGAAAAAAAAAAAAAGATTTTAGGAATATCTTTTAGAAGAGAATCCGAGTAAGAGCATTTATTTTACTTTTCATCTCGATCTTAGTATATAAGTACAGTGTAAAATACAACTGTACAATTGCTACTAATACGTATAAATACAGAAACCTCGGTGGAAAATTACGTGTATCCCTTGTTCTCGGAGTTAATTCAGATATATTATACATTTTTACAGTTTACTTACAACGACTACCTTAATTGTACATTAAAAAAAAAAAAAATAGTTTAGAAATAATTTACAGGTGAGATACAGATTCGAAACGTGAGACCAGCTACATATCGAGGTTGCTTACGCGATTTAAATACATTGGTCAAATTAAGCAAATGTGTTTCAAGAGCAACTCTTTTCATGTCTCTTCTGTCTATTGTATACGCACACGTATAAAGTTCAACCGAATCCGTCGAATTTAGTTTAGTAGGTTCTATTCAACGGATGTTCGGCGAAATAATCCTTTTTGCTGTACATAACTTCGGCGACGGTCTTGTTGAACTTGTCGCCGTTGTTCCACTCCCCTGCCGCGATCTCGTCGGCGAGAACCTGCACCCTGTCTATGCAGAGAATCGCGAAGCTGTCGGCCAGATGCCGATCGTGATCGTGGTTCCTCATGCCGATGCAGTACGCCCGGGAGGCGCGCGAGAGAACGGTGGTCAGCGCGAACGTTCTCGTCGCCATTTCGCCGAGTCGACGCAGCTCCATTTGCCGCTCAGGCACATTCCTGGAGTGGCGTTCCAGCAACAGCACCGAGACGGTCTTGAGCCTGGTGATGCACTTCTCCAGTTGTGTGCTACCTGTTGCCAAGGACGGGTGCACGTGCTCGGCGAGTTTAAGCGACAGTCGATAGTCGTTGCCCATCATCCACTTGAATATGTACTCGGGAAAATTGAAGGGATTCCGCAGCTTGAATATGTGATCGCGCAGATTCTTGCCCGTGTGCTGCAGGCCAAGTAGAGCTATGTACGTGTTCGAGTCGAAGCTGCTGCCGTCGAACAGGGTGTACGACAGCGCGTCTTCCAGGGTTTGTATATACGGACTGTCCCTCAGGTAACTCTGCGCCCCGATGAGCTGCAGCCCCTCGTAAATGTGCGCGACGCACTCGCTGGTGCAGTACGCCTCCGCCATGGCCTTCTCGAGCGCGCAATCCTGATTCTCGAACGTGTCCATCATGCCGGCGGTGTAGTACAGCATGCTCTCCATGCCGTACAGGGAACTCGCCATCTTACCGATCACCTCCTGAACGCTCTCGCACTCGTGCATGTTTTGATCCAGATGCTTCCTCTGCAACACGTGCCTCGTCAGTACCCTCGTGAAAGCCTTCAACGCGCCGACCGCCTGCGGGGCGAGGTTTCTATTCCCGGGAGCGAGCACGTCTATCAGTATACTCATTCCGGACTTCGCGTCACCCAAGAGGTTCTCCCACGGTACTTTGGTGTCCTGAAAAATAACCGTGCTGACCGGACTGTCTCGCAGCCCGACCAGACTCTTGACCTCGCTCGTGACGCCGCCGAAGTCGCGCTCCACCAGAAACACGCACAGAGAGCTCTGCGTCTTGGCGATCGCGTGGGGATGGCCGGTGTGGGTCAGGACGACGAACAGATTGGCGTCGTGCCCGTTGACCACGAACGCCTTCTCGCCGTTCAGCGTCCAGTACGTGCTGCAGTCCGACTGGACGGCCGTGCTGCTGAGGTTGTGCATGTTCACTCCGCTTCCGGGCTCGGTGAAGCACACCGTGGGAACGAGCTCGCCGGTCGCTATCCTCGGCAGGTACTTGGCCTTCTGCTCGGCCGAGCCCAGCGTGGAGATGATCTGGACGGGCACGATGTGATTCTTGACAATGTAGCACCCCAGCCAGGGGAATAAGCTGAGCACCTCCACCAGCTTGGCCGACTCCGAGTGGTTCAGGCCCAGGCCGAGATACTGCTCGTCCACGCACGCCCGAAAGACGCCCAGTTCACGCAGGTGAGACAGAATGTCCTCCCGCCGGACGCCCTCCGGATCGTCCAGACACTCCGACATGTACTTCTCGATCGGCTGGACCCACTCGAAGAAACGCGTATGCCTGTCCTTGGTCTGCGGCTCCGGGTAGTACAGGAACTCGTGATCGAACGCGGCGAGGAACAGATTCTTGGCGAACGGCTTGCGTTGCGGCTCCTTCTTGAGCGGGGCCGGCAGCCGCGTTTCGAGGTTAATCGTGTCCAGGGCATGCTGGCCGACGTGCTGGCTCTGCGTGTGCCGGACCGGCGTGCAGACGCACGAGGCATGCCACAATTGCCTCCTGCACAGAAGTCGACGTGCCAGCATCGTTGTCGCGCCTCCGGATAACCTTTTCACAACTCTTTCGAAACGGAAGATCCGTGCACACCGCGGTCACCGCGGATGCATGGAGGTTAGGGTCGTTAGTGGCATCTGGTGGCGTTATGGTTAACGAGTTCGGTACTATTCCGCAGACTCAATGGATAAAATACTCGGCTGATAAAGTAGGGTAACTGTCCCTATTAGTGTGCCCTGAACCTATTATATTAGTGTGCTTTTATATTTAAATAAGTCATAAAAATAAACTGGTACAAATAAATAGACAAAGTATTTTTTTTCTATAAAGTTAATACTTTAACTTAATAAAAAAAAATACTTTGTCTATATATTTGTACCAGTTTATTTTTATGACTTATTTAAATATAAAAGCACACTAAGGTTCAGGGCACACTAATAGGGACAGTTACCCTATATGTTTATTTCTAAAGAACTAATATATTTAATTTTTTCAAATAATTATACTTTTCTCTAAAACAAATCTCCATGCAAAAGAAGTTATTCTACTATTTTCATTAATTTTAAATAAGCTTTGACACACACGAGTTAAATTAAATTAAATTCACAGGGGTCGGTAAAATAATTACTGATACAATAATATATTATTTAAAATAACAAATATAAAATAGATTCCAGAAACTTATTTAAAATAAAATATCGCAGGGGCCAATGACAAACCTGATACGACTTATTTAAAATGAAAAATATAAAATAGATCTCAAAAACATATTTAAAATATTAAAGAAATAATATAGATCAGAAGAAATTATTTAGAATAATAAATACTATGCAGAAGTTCAGTAAAGTAACTTATATAACCTATTTAAAATAACAAATATAAAATAGATTTCAGTAACGACTTATTTAAAATGAAAAATATAAAATAGATCAGAAAAAGCTATTTAAAATAATAAATATTAAATAACTCTTTTACTTTTTGTTATTTAAAATACGCATATTTAAAATAATATTATTTTAAATACGACCGACCCCTGTAAATTCATTATTCAAATTATATATTGCACGCTTTGTACGATTAATTAATATTAACTTTTTAAATTTAACTTGCAAAACGATTCCAACAACATATTTTTCTAGATTTTTTCACAAGCAAAAATTTTTACAAGCATAAATTAATTCTAATGCAGCGTACATTTTTCTCATCAAAAAATTAAATATTTATTTGTGCTTTAGCTGTCAGAATTTCTTTGACGTGGGAACGTGGAATTTTCCGACATGCAATGTGTAGGAAGTAAATTAAAAAATTATCAATTACTTGAAGTAATTTATAGTTTCTTATTCGTCTATTTTCTTAGTTTCATTACCTCGTTTTATAAGTATAAGAAACTTTATATAGACATAGATTCTTAGCGCGTATTTTAATTTTTTGTCGATAAATTTTAATATAATATAAAAAATCATAATATATAAATATATTAGTATTTATTTGTTCTTGGAATTTTCTTGCATAATTTGTGCAACCCAACAAAAAGTTAATTTAAAAATTGTGTAATTTGAATTTCGTTTATCTATCGTTTATGTAATCTAATAAGCAGAAATTTTTTATACATGTACATTTCTTATTACACGTAGTATAATTTTTATGTCGCGCGTATATTTTATACCATGATACAAACATGTTTGTATCATGTTTTATACTTCGAAAAAAGAATTAAATGTTCTCGTGTTTCATCTGTTCTCGGAATTTTTTCACTATGTGCAGCACGTCAGAAGCTAATTAAAAAATTGTCAAATACTTGAAGCAATTTAGATTTCTCGCTTCGTTATCTCATAATATTTAAGTCGTTTGTTCCGAATTACTGCAGCCATGCTCATTCCTTCGGCGACAATATGACATGAGTCGAGACAATGTCTTCGACAATGTCAGCGACGCTGCTGATCCTGCTGTCGCTCGCATTCGCCTCGAATGGCTGTAGCTTCGGCAAGCGCGACAGAACGCGCACTCATCATCGAAGCGACGACAAATGTGTCTGTACCACCGCCGTTCGCTACAATCCACTGACGGATGCGAACGTAACCATCGATCCCCATTGCGACTGCAGATCGTCCGGCTTTGGGGTGGTGCGGATGATCCCGTACGGGACCTGCGTCGCCGCAGATGCATGCGGCATAACGCACGTGGATCTGTCCTCCGCGTGCGTCAGATGCGGCATGTGCGTGGCCGTCGCCGAGGAGGTTCGCGGAATTTCAAATATCTTATATTTTGGACAGCTTATGATAAATAAATATGTTAAGTATATATAAATTTATTGTATATATTATATTTTGTATCTCTTATATATACGAGTATTATATTTTATACCGTTACGTAAAAATATATCAATATAATGCACGTATTAAATAAATTTATTATCTATTTTTCTGCTGAAATATGCTTGTTCCCCGGTAATTTCTTTTCAGATTAATCAAACTCTGCTGGAGATTCACGACATGATGGCACCTGACGACTGGCTAAACGAAACGGAGATTGTGCTTCTTCTAAGAACAATTTGCGATCATTCTTTTCGACAGTAACATTCCCTTTCTTCGTTACGTAATTTTATACTTAAGTGCGCTTAATTATACTGATTTAACGATCCTGATCATAGCTATGGGTTGCGCGAAATCGATGGCAAAAGATTTATCTCTGATCCGTTACCGGGTGACAGGCTCGTCGCTTCGTCCGCCGATGGGTTGTGGGAGAAAAAGTAAGATATTTATAGAAAAGCTTATGTTACAATTATACTTACGATTAGCTGTAAAAAATAGCGAAAGAATTAAATTTTTATGTAAGATTGGAAGAGGTTTCATTATCACTTTACTCTATCAATTTCGTTTTACTATATAATTAATTATGAGGACCTCGTAGTTTGAGAAATATGTGTCACAACTATCTCAATGAGATACAAGAAGTACAATTGTATAGAAATTGGAAAGAGTGGTGCGAGGATGACGAGCACATTCCTAATCTGGAAGATATCCTTTGCAGGTATATTCTCAATTTAAAATTTATCTTTTCATTTTTTATCTGATTCTTTGATTTGTGTTAAATTTAATTGTATAATCTGAGGGACATCCAGAATTTTTGTATTTTTCATAGAAACGAGATTAGCAGCCTACGAGATTGCAGAGGTATAGGCAATGTATACAGGCGACAACTATCTACGAAGATTTTTAGTGCTCGCGTGAAGCTTTTAGCCGAATATATATAATAATTTTAAGTGGTCATGTATATTTAAATCATGTATATTTTTGATTATACAAAAAAATATTACCTATTAAATATTATGCATATTTAATGTACTATTTGACATGATATTTTTATTTTTATGTTACAACTGAAATGAAAACAAACATTTGTCGTACTAAATTTAAATTTGCCAGAATGCGTAACACGATATATGTGTAAAATTGTGAAAAATTGTCTAAAAATGAGACTAATATATTCTCGCAGTTAATTAAAGTATTTACAACAGTTTACATTAAATTAGCGAGACTTAAATTAATTTAAATTAACAATCTAAATTAGCGTGATTATATAGTATCGCACCGAAAAAATCTGGATTTATAAACAGATCGATACCGTAGAATCGGGATTTCAATCGCGAAACGGAAAGACTCGGATGTTCTCCGCATTCGAGATTGGGATTCTCTCGGTTGGTCTTATCTTCTTCTTAGATAAGCCCGAGAAAGACGCCCAAGACGCTCTCTTGAGACCTGCCGATCTACGGCGCACCTGCAAACGCGGCTCCAGGCCGGGGCCCCTCGGCATCTCCGGAGAAACGTCGCGTTCCTGAATACCGACGAGCGACTGCACCTGACGAGCGTGATTCTGCAACATGGACAGATAAGCGGGATCGTAGCCGCGGAGTTTGCCGGTCGGAGCGGCGACGCGAAGGTGAGGATGACGGTCGTCGGGACGTACGTGACCTGCACCGTCGTGATGATGATGATGATGGAAGTGGAGATGCGGTATCAGATTGTGCCTGCGTATACTGCGCACGACGGTCTCCCGCATCTGCTTCCGTTTGTTCCATATCCTCTCGAAGATGCCGATGGAGATCGCGGTGACCATACCCGCCACCAGGAGGAAAAAGGCGGAGTAAACGTCGGCGAGCCTCGCGCTGTGGAAAGCCGCCGACGCCGCGCACCGCGGCATCGTCGGCAGCATCCGTTCCTGTATCTTGTCCAGAACGCCGCGTTCGTATATCCGCAATATACTGCGGACAAAATGATACAAGTTACAAACGAGACGCGAATTTAACTGACGTTAAGACGTTACTTTCAAGAAAAGCTGCAATTTTCTTCTATAATGCATTAATATATTTCGAGTTCTCACTGGCCAATTAGCTTCGAAAAATTAGGAAGCTGTTTGTTGTTGTGTTCTAGCGATTTTAATTATCTATATTAAATATTGCGACAGTTGCAATGTGTGTCATGTGAACAATTCAACAACGTCGCGTACTTGAGATTGATGATCTTCCTGTACGGGCAACTCTTGGCCATGGGAAGAGCGACGATCGTAAGCGTTTGCGGAAGCAGCAGCTCCTTCAAGGTGCACCGTTCCTGTATGAAGGTCGTTCTGAGGGCTCGCCGTGCGAGAGTCGCGCTGACGAAGAATCCATACCGTCCTTTGACGGCTTTCATGAGGCCGGTCCTCGTCTCCAGGCGGGATTCGCGATTGTTGAACGCTTTTATGTACAACTGACGAAGATTGCTGTCGTTCGCGTTCTAAAAGATAACGCGATAAAGCACTAAATAACTGCGGCATTAGACTGCAAATAATTGCCCAAAATAATTACAAGTCTCTCCGAGCAATACAGTAAAAAAAAATATTGTAAGCAAGATGCTTGAAAGAAGAGAGTTTATCGAATTTTTCATTTTAGATATCTTTACGGCATCTCTTAAATTTATGTAGATTAATTACTTAACGATTGATTTAATAATGTAAAATATTTTACATCATTAATTGCACCATATTAATTTGAAAAAGCGTTAAATAAAAATAACAATAACAACATGTAATGGTAAAATATTAATGTAAAAAAACGCTACATTAAAAATAATAATAGCAATATATAATGGTATTTATATAGTACTCTTATATATGTATCGTCGGCGGCACTGTATCCTAGCTTGAAATTATTAAAGAGAAGATCAGTGATCGATTTGATTCCAGTGGCCTGCACCGACAGGATGGATGTGATGAAGCCGGCGTAGGCGTTGTACATTACAAGGGAGAATATTAAACTGAATAACAACAGAGTCTTTCCTGACGGACTTCGAGGCGTCCAAGGTGATCCTGAAAAAAAATCCAACTAATAGTTAATTAGTAATACATTTTACAACACATAATTATGTATTATTACGTATTATCTATATTAGCATTGTATCTATAAGAAGCGATAACAATGCAGATTGATAAGCCATTATAACAGCGTAATTGTTCTATAATACATAATTAAAGAATATAAAAAAATATTATAAAAAAAGTAACCTTGCATGCACATGATACTCAAGCACCAAAGAGCAGATTCGCCAATCCCGACGTGTTTTTCATCCTCATCATGCAACATCGTTTTAGCGGCGTAAATAACTGTCGCCATTGCGATTAACATGATGAGATATGTTCCTGCGACGCAGCCGAGCAATCGATTGTCGAACGGTTGCAAAAATATATCCCTCATCGTACCGGTCTCCAATGGATGATAATAAATATTTCTCCTACGTAAAATGTATATATATGCAGGATACACACACTCTCACAATTGGAACAAAATTACAAAATATAAAATTAGTTATGAGTTTTAAATATTTGGAATTTTATACTCTTTGGTAATCATTTTAATTCGTTCTATTATAGTTCTTCACTTTACATTATTACTCCTGAAATTCTACATTATTCTAATCTTGAATCTTTGAGTTTTAGTACCTTTGCACTGTTTTAAATAATGTTAAATGCAAATGTAAATTCTCAGATAACATTTATATTTAGAGAAAGCTGTTTCTGACCTTGTCTCATAATCTATGCTAATTAATGTCGCTCTAACGATATCTTTACGGAATGTATAAACTATAAATTAATATTTTTACATTGTAATAAGAAAAGGCAGAATATATTGCAAGGAAATAGAAATAATAAATATAATTTGGAATGTATGTATAAAACAAATATGTAGGTATATATACACAAATAAAATGTATAAAGTGATATAGTAAAGTTCACGTTGCTCATCCGCCTGTTAATTCTGTTTGATTTTATTTATTAAAAAATTTTTACCGACATGTATCGTATCAAAGGATGGCTAAATGTCATCTCCGCCCAACGCTCCTCGTCGTTCGCCGTTATGTATCCTAAACCGATGTCGACGGTGCCAGTCACAACATCGCCGAGAAGATGGCTCCATACTTTGTTAGTTAACGTACCGAGCTTTTCGTGTGGCACCAGCTCGATACTGCGAAAGTTCAAAATAAATCATTATCATTTCTGGCTTCATAATACAATTATATTTTCATTATTTTATTTTTATTTCTTTCTAAAGAATTATCTTATTCTATGTGAGAATATTTTTTCAGAATTTCTATTACTTTATATTTAATTGTTTTCTGAAAAGTTTAATTATCAAGATAATTCTCTCGAAGACTAGGAGGTCTGTCTTAAACAGATAAACTGCTTTTTTGTCTTCAAAGTTTCTTTTTATAGATTTATAGATGGTGTATTACTTTTGGAATATCATTAAAGAAAGCAAAAAGAAAACTGTTCGTATATTATTGTCAGTGCCACATGCTCTTTCACCTGGCGTTCACGCTATGAGTGACAATGGTGGCAAAGTCCAAAAGCGGTGCGATGTCATTAGCGGTGGCGTCCGATTCGATAACGTCCGACTGCCCATCGCTGGTTCCGTTCAACACCCCAAAGACAATGGGAAGGCCGTTGAAGTCGCTTCTAAGCTTCACGCTCATCGGCAGCTTCAGAGTGTGAGAGTCCGGATTCCAGAAACCGAGATATCGAACAATTAGACTCGCATTGTCGGAGTGACGTATTTTATAGGTGTGCATTAAGTAGAACGACACCGTGCGATTCTCCTCGGTGACGTAGCTCAAATTGATCGTGGCGTTCTCGACGTTGCGGCCCTCCGGCGGTCCCGTGAACTCGAACTCGAAGCGATCGCCGTATCGTTGGAGGGACCGACATATCCTATGGAAAAAAAAACTGATATTGCATATTCTGATATTCTGATCATTACTATACCATATTATAGTAGCATAATGCGCAATTTCGTGAAAATAAAAGATACAAGAGATGTTTATATTTATACATTCCTTTATTTTATTTTCATTTTTTCACATTTTCTTTTTTATATGTCTATTCTTCATATTTCTTTCTGATATCTCTATTTCTTGACTGTTCAACGAATTAAAATAAGAGGCTTTATTTATTTCTGCCAAGTTCATATAAATAATTAATATTACGCATTCAAATGGAAACTTTACATATTTTAATCGGGTTTTAAAGTGTTAGGCAACGTGAACGATTAACATCTTATTTTATCCTTTGAACGAGTTCTTATTTTTGTATTATATTTGTGTGAAGACTATTATGATAATAGCGTACCTCATCGTATAAATCGAAATTTGCGCAAACTTGACTTACTTGTTCCGATATTTCTGAGCGTACGTCCAAGCGGCAGCGTCATTCTGTAACGGCGAGGTAGCCACGATCACGTCGCTGTCGATGCCGATATTTAGATCCCGAAGAACAGTATCGATGGTGGAATCGTTTTTTCGTGTGGTCACCATAAGCCAGGAGATGTAATAGTTGAACAGAAATTTCTGAGAGGCCTGTCGAAACATTCGCTCTGATCATGCGAGTGTGCCGAAAGTATGCGGAAGATATCGCATGGTGTGTTATTTCTCATAAAATTTACAATTGATTTTTGTTTTGTAGAAAAATTGTGTATCACAAATTGTATGTGTAGTCGAAAGAAAGATAATAAAAAAGAAACTACAATTATCGCATTGATATGTGACACCTCCCAATAAACATTAGGACATTCTATGTATGTTCTATGTATATACATATGTGGCTATGTTAGACGCGAAGCAATAACCGTAATGAAGAAGAACATTTTGTGAAAATCGATTAATTTTTTCTAGAATGACAAAACAGAGATGCGATCTATGGCAAATTGGCAATAGGGAATTATTATCTTTACGTATAGACTTCATTGAAGTTCACTATGAATCAGGCAAATGGGAATTATTCCCACGGGACAATTCTTTGCTAACGCAACACGCAATGTGTTTTCTTACGTATGCGGTATTTAGGAGATTAAAAATATTTAATATTAAAAGAACATTATATAAAAGGTTATTATTTTACCTAACAAATTTAAAATTCTTTCTTAACAATTATTATTGCTATTGCATAATTCAATATTTAAGTATAATGTTCTTAATCATCAAAAATGTTCTAAATATAACAAATATATGTACATTATGTCGTAAAAAATTATCTTACAACATTAATTTCCAAGTGTATATTAATCGTTCGCAAAATAATTTCTATATTTCATGAATTTTAAATCAAAATAAATATAAAGTAAATTCAAATGATTAAAAAATATAATACCGTAGTCATGCAACAAGCTAATATAAATAAATTTCTTTATAATTTTGTATAAATAAAATTTATACTATTAATACTCTTTATACAGTTTATGTTGTTTAAAATTAGAAATATCAAGATATATGTATTTAATTTAATTTTAAATATGTATTTAAATACATCTTTATTTCCAATTTAAGATGTATCTTAAAAATATTAATTTAATATTCTTCTTAGGCGTAGTTCGCTTCCGACTCGGAACAACGTCATGACTCCAGCTCATACAGTCCCGTGCACAATTTAATATTAATTTAATGTAAATATGCGATTCTATTTTCTCACAATCAAACATAAATAGACATTAAAATCATACCACTTGAATAATATTATCAGGTGATGTCAGATTGAGTCCATCCAAGAGCACGATCGAGCCGACGCGATGCGTTCGAATTGTAAGGGCGTCTGGTACATTTGGATTCGTTGCCGATTGTAGAGACACGCTGATGCCTCTTTCACCGAAACACTCGATCAATGGCCGGGCATAATTAAGGGCGCAATCTGTATTCATTTGTAATTAGTTAATGTACCGTTATTTAACTAATAATCACTGTTTCGATATTTAACTAATAATCGTATTATGAGCATTGTACATCTTCTAATTCTTAAATATAACGGGAATTTTGTAAAAAAATTTCTTTTGTATGTGTTTTCTTTAAAAATACCGCTTTTAAATCAATCTTTCAGGAAACTTTCTTATTCATTACATGCATATTGGCGAAACTATAAAATATATTAATATGATATATTAATGAGATAAAAGAGATCAACTAAATTAGTTCGAGAAACTTTTTAAAAATAAATTCCATAGTAAACTTACGAATAATTGCTTTTTTATCCTTTCACACAGTTTGGCTAATAAGTTGAGAACACTTACTGAATGGACTGACATTATCAAAAAGCACCACTTGATCCCAAGATCGCCATTCCGCGTATTCTAATAACAATTGCAGCGTCAACGGGGATGTGTAAATGCAAGGTTTGGCGGCCACGTGAATCATCATTAACATCACCAGCAACAACTTTGTTTCTCCAGCATCAACTTTGATTCCGTTCATAACTGTCAACATTACATAAATCTGAAAAATTGATAGGGATATTATTTTACGAAGTCAAAAAATTGGAAGCTCGTTCTTTATCGCATTGTCTGTGATAACTGGGAAAAAAATGATGATTCACGATTTACTATTATTGAAGCTCGACGTTACAATACATCGAGACGATTTTGACTGAATTGTATTGCTGGTTAATTTACTACTGATAACGAGCGATTTCAAGAGTGTAGCTAGCGTGAAATGCCGGCCCTTGTTGAGGCTCCGTCAAATCTTTAATTCATCGCTCGTATGCCTCGTCTGCTTGCACGGAACATCAACAACACAGTGAAATCTCTGACAGCAAAAAGAAAGCAATAAAGCTTGACATTTATAGCTATGACGATGAAAAAAAATCTTTAGTATTGTGTGCATTACTTTTTGCCGATTATATTTCAAGCAATCGTCTTGGTGCTCGTGTCACGGTTATTTTGCCGATTTTATTTATCTTCTAATTATATACCTGTGCATGTATTTCCAATGCGTATTCTCGTAACTTTTTCGCATATATTTTTTCTTAAATTCTTTTCACGTAATGCGGCGCAATGTAGATAATGTAAATATATTTCTTACTGTACGACCGCAATCACATCTGTAGAAATTTATATATATTTGTAAAGCGCGCGATTACATGAGTCTTCTTTACATCACATCACCAAATATTAATGCGCACTGTAAGATGTAATGCATAGTTATTTAGTTATAGTTATCTATATACACGATTCGTGCGTTACACAAAGTCGACCGATTACGTACTAAGAATTAATTTTTGGAAAGTCATATCGACAGTCTCTCGAAGATAGGAATCAGGATAAACCCTCGTACGCAAGTAAATTAGTTACTTCAATTATAGCCATGGTCTCATAGGGGAAACAGAATAGCCCAGATAAAAATATCAATTTGTACGTAATTCATTATCAAGAAAAGAGAGACTCATAAAATTTTCTAATTTACTTCACACAGAATACATCTTTCAATGATCGCACGTTTTATTGTGTATTTTATTAAATTCATCAAATATTAAACACATCTAATCTATTATATAGAAGATGTGTTCTGCAGAATAAATTGAGATTCTATAAACGTTGTCCTTTTCTTATTAATAAGAGAAAATTTTAATTTTGTAATAATAATCATAATATACTAATAATTATCTTGAAAAATCAGTTTTTATCTTTGTACAATAATATATAACGGCCGATTTCTTGAGATTCACGTCGTAGCATTTTTGCTTACAATTCTTTTGCTTGTATAAGCGTATTATTGTTCTTGTGATTTTTCTCTCGTATCGCCGAGAGAAAATATTGTTTGATTAACACATTCTCGTATATGTGACCGAAATCGATGGCTCATACTGTATTAAGATCCCGCGCGGGCTGCGAAATCCGCGCATCGCTACACAGAAATTTAACGCGGCTGCAACTGTTAAAAACACGAGATGTCAAGCGGAACGTTAGTCAAATGGGAGACAAACATAAAAATTTTTAGCCATTTGACTAACATTCCGCTTGATGTCTCGTTTTTTACACATTGACTCAAGACAGATATAATATGTTTTTCTTCCGATTCGATCCGTTAAGTTGTCACCTATGGATTGGATCACACTACACTGCGGTTTTCCAACGAACAATCTCACAGCGAGTGATAAGCGACCTTAGAGCAAGCGAACGAACAAAGTGCTAATGTAACATATAAAGAAAAAATTTTGTATTTTTTACCCACTGAAGATGGCTTAATGCGGAGCCGAAATGTTTGGGTGTAAATTATTGTGTTAAACATACGTAATTTCAGCACTAACTCCGTGCAAGGCTCACTAGCCCTTCGTTTGATACTCCTTTGATAAATTTTCAAGTTTTAATTCAAAATGGATACCCATATAATGACAAATTATAGAGCTTTAATGTGTTATATCTGAAAAATAAACGTCCCTATTCCAATATCATAAAATGTAAATTTTTAAAAAAAGTCAAATACAGATCTATTTCAAAATTTAAATTTTCTACATACACTCTAAATCTGATTCAGTGGAAAAGTCAATGATTGAAGTAACGCCTTGCATCACTAATGATTAAGTGAAACAGCTTTTCACAATTCATAGATTTTTCAGTTGAATTTCACTGATTACCAGTCATATATTTGGGATTAATACAATGAATAACCATTGATAATTTATTAATTTGTGATTATCCAATGTTGTCCACTGATTCAGATTTAGAGAGTAGTAATTCCGCTTCATGGTTCTAACAGTTTAAACAAGAAATCACGACACAAAACTTAATGCACGATTAAAAAGCTCAATCGTTCTTGTTGCACATGAAACTGATTGTGATATTTTACATTTATAATAAATAATAGAAATTGGATATTTTTCATATTATTAATATAACGATATACTGATCATATGCGAGTAATAATTTATATCGTACTCATTATTTATACATTAATTGTGATGATCATTGGGTCATTGCAATAATCATAAAATTAATTGCGTCAATTTGCACAAATGCGCATTCAAGTGTTTTAAATGGATCAAGGCTGACAATGCAATTCATAAAAGTGCATAGGACTGCAACTTGAGAAAACAATTCAGTCGTCATGATTCGAATATGTGATTAAGAACTATAAATGAATGTCGGGTAAACGGTATGAGTGCTTTCTCTCTACACGACGAATTAACAATGTTCTACAAATAGATAAAAATTTCTTAAAAGACTAGTGTGTGTGTTAATTTAAACTGTGCAAGTTATTGTAGAATATTTCACAAATACGCTATATAAGCATATTCGAGCATCGATATTTGAGCGTTTTTTCCTTTCAAAAATAGAATTCTATTAATTTGCGATATAATATAATTATCTATTTTTTCGATAAAAAATATTGCTTGACTTATGGCTGATAAACAGTTTTGTGGATAGCTTTGTGGATAGCTTGTAGACAGTTCTCGCTTAGTCTCTGTTTAACTTCATGTTAGCTGAAAAGTCACTCAAACTTAATATTCTTATTTAATCTTTCATTGGTGATTTAAAGAGAGAAAATAACAACCTGCTATTTTTGTTGATAGAGTGAAGCTGATTTTTGGATTTTCAGTCCAACAATCTAAAAACAAAGATGGCACCAAATATTTCAAACACAGATCCAAAAATACTTACGAAGAAAGATTTTCAAAAGGAGGACTCAATAGGTGATGAAAATGAAAGCCAAAACGGAAGCGAAATCTATACAAAAACTGAAGGCTGGTTCAAGACGGAACCGAAGTGGCTTAACATCATATCTATTAATCTTTTGCATTTATTCTTTCTGTACGCCTGTTTTACTTTTCAATTTCTCGAAAATCTGAAGACGACTGCTTGGAGTGAGTATTCTTTAATAACTCTTTTGCTAACTTAGTTTTTATTTAGTTCCTGAAAAAACCATATAATAAAAAAAATAAAATTTAGCCTAACAACAAATTAATCATTTCTTATAATTATTCAATAGAGAGAAATCTTTTAAAACGTATCAGTTTGATTAAAATTGTATCACACATTTACTAAAATCGAAGTACCAAATTTTTAACATCTAAAATGAATGACGGCTGATTGACAGCCAATCAGATTGAAGAGAGCACGCAATAGAAGTTTAATATAACCGACAAGAAATTGTGCTGTTCAAGACTTCTTGCTTTTATCGTATAAAATCGATTTCATCATAAGTCATAAGTCATTGTTAAACGTTGCGGTAATTACAAAATACATCGTGAAAGTAATTTACACTTTAATTGAATCATTTTAAGAAATGTCAAAATTAATTACAACTTTGATTTGAGTCAAGTAAGAAAATTCTAACTTTAATACGATTCTCTTTTTTTGAAAATTTCTTGTTTTTCAATAAAAAAAAAAAAATAAAAATTATCAGTTAAAAACAAAGTATTTTAGATAAGTCGCGATTATGTGAGTCATCAATATTGCAATACTTACATAACACGTAAGAACTACTCGGAAAGAACGACTTTGTTGAAAGGTCTAAAAATTTTGTTGAATATAAATTTGAAAATAATTTTTTATTAAATCATCAAAATAATTTGTTGGAATGTTAAAACTGATAAGTATTGCTACAAAACATTTTGATATTCTAGCAATCATTTTGACATTCACACAAAATTATTTTGATTATTGAACAAAAATTATTTTCAGATCTGGATCCAGCAAAATTATTCTTTCCGTGTATGAATAGTTATGTAAGTTACAGTTAGTGTAAATTACTGTACATTATTGCGTACAATTTTAAAGAATTTCTAATGTTATCTAAATGTGCCCTTTTTGTTTCAGTATGTAGCATGATTGCGATAGGAGGGGCAGGAATCACTGCCGGCGCTCATCGTTTATGGACCCATCGAGCTTACAAGGCAAAATGGCAGCTTAGAATTATACTTATCATTTTCTACGCTTCAGCCGGCATGGTAAACGAACGAAATAATTTATAATTACTGTCTCATCCGTAGGAAGACGGAAGAATTTTTCCTTACAGTTGCTTCCTTTCAGAATAATATTTACGATTGGGTGAGAGATCATCGGGTGCATCACAAGTATACGGACACGGATGCAGATCCGCACAACAGTAACCGAGGATTCTTTTACTCTCATGTCGGTTGGCTGATGATGAAGAAACATCCGGAAGTGATCCGAAGGGGTCGTGAGATCGACATGAGCGATATATTGGCCGATCCTATCGCCGCGTTCAGTATCAAGTAAGTGTACAGGCAAAGAATCGATAATTAATTATGCAAAATAATTTCATACTGAAAAGGACAAAGAAAAAAAAAATAAAAGAAAATTTATTCACACTTATATTTGACTCTTCTCAAAAGTACATGTATCATTTCGATATCTTTTTGCAGCCACCTTTTTTAGACATTTTTTTACATAGATTCTTTATGCAAGATCAGCATATCATAATTAATGATCAATGATCATAATCGTTGATCCCGCAAATCATAATTAATGACACATTATGACGCATGTCATAATTAATTTATGCTACTTGCCATTGCAGATATTTTTCAATAATTAAATTTATCTTCGCTTTTTTGCTTCCGGTGATATTGCCCGTGTATGGATGGAATGAGACTTGGTCTCGAGCTTTCGTGTCGCAGATTATTCTTCGTTATCCTTTAATTTTAAATTTTACATGGAGCGTCAACAGTGTGGCTCATATCTGGGGCTCAAAGCCATACGACACGTAAGTAGATCATTATAAAATTTCCCAATTTCAAAAAAAGATCAAACTAACGAGCAATTAAACGAGGACGATAGCGTTTACTACAATCGAGTTATAAATTTCTACAAATTACGAGTAAGTTACGTGATGTAGTTCGCGGTATTTAACTTGTGGAAATTTATGGTTTGATATTGATAATAAACGCTGTCGTCCTCATTTAATTGCTCGTTAATTTGGCCTTCTTTTTAAATTGTTTATTTTTGCATTGACGAGCTTGTCAGCTTTTTGTTATTAATTACAAAAATTATTCACATGTAATAAACTTGATCGAAAGAAATCTCAAATCTTTCGCCACTTCCGCGTGTCACCTACGAATAATTTTATTTCATTTATATTAACGGCAGGCACATAAACCCGACCGAGAATCTATGGGTCAGTTTAGTAACGGGCGGTGAAGGATGGCACAATTACCATCATGTCTTTCCGTGGGACTACAAGGCTGCCGAGTTAAACAATTCCTTCATTACAAACTTCATCGACTTCTTCGCGAAAATTGGATGGGCGTACGATCTTAAACAACCGTCGAAGGAGCTCGTTAAGATCGTCGCGATGAAAAGGGGTGATGGAAGTTATCCTTTATGGGATGCTGTGCCATATCCAGTAGAAACTGAATAATAAAAATGACAGAGAGTTTCTTCGGATCAATTAACAGCAAATAGATAATTAAAATAATTTATATGTCTTGTTATTTATATTATATTTGTTAGTATACATATATGTTATAAACTTATGTTTTTGTTTTTTGAAAATGTAATATTTCTTTATTAATATTTGATAATTAAGTAAATTCTGCACTCTTTTCGCAAATCAAGGTAAAGATGATTGGAGCAGCCTTATCATTGATATATTTACCTAGAATTTCTTTTTTGATTATTCCATCATTTATAGAACGCTTTGTAGCAATTTTGATAAGTAATTATATATAGTTTATAGCAGATTAAACTAGTCTTTTATTATAATTTATATATTTGTTTTAACCAATTATTGTAAAATTGTATTTTTGTTGCAACAGGACAAATGACGTCGAATTATTTATCATACCAATATTACAGATAATAATAAATAGTATAATAATGATAAATAGCGCGCTTCGCACGCGCTATTTAACAATTATTATTTTTTACTATAATTTGCTATTAAATCAACCTCAATACACTGTCAAAATATGCAATGACAGCCGCTCACGAAATTAACGCAGCAAGAAAATCAATCATCATTCCGGAAAAATGTCAACAATAAATTTCAAGACTTTCGAGAATCAATATTTTTAGAAATAGACACTTTAACTTTTTTTTTACTAATTTTTTAAATATTTTTTTCGAAATATTAATACTTTTGATACATTAATTCTACATTAAATGACAAATTCTAATTATTTATGAAATAATTTCTGTCGTAGCTCGCCGTTATGACAATAGCGCTAATATGTCAATACACAATAGTCGGAATTTATTATGATGCATTTTTACCTTCAAACATTTAATTGCATGTTTCAAGGCATCTTTTAACATTTAATTACACATCCTCTCTCATTTTGTTTTAACTTGAATGTATTATTACACAAATATATGTATTGTATACCTGGTTTAAGTGTTTTATACGTTGTGTAACATTTTATTCTCTTGGGCTATACTCATTTTGAATCATGTAAAGTTAAACCTTGTAAGTATAATAGCTGCTCCTAATATCTTCTACATTAGATGGCAAATTCTAATTATTTATGGAATCAGGTTCTTTAGTAATTCATCGTTACAATGGCGTTAATATGCTAATACGCATGAATCATTTATTCACAATAGCCGGCATTTATTATAACGTGATTTATTATTATTTTTACCTTCAAGCATTTCGAAAGTTTTTAAAGCATATATGTTAGCATTTATAATTGCACATACTTTTTTATTTTACTTTAATTTGGATGTATTTACACAAATATATGTATATTTGAATATTTTATTTTTGTTCGCTATTTAACATTTTATTTGGCTATATACGTTTTGAGTTTTGAAAACAATGGCATTTTGTTAGTAGCTAAATGTGTGTTGATACAACTTCTTCAAGGTTTTCTTATCAACATAATTATCCGATAGCAGCTCTACTTCTAATCTATATAGTTCACATTACATATATTTTTAGTACTAACAGCGGAAGAAGTTATGTATGCATACTACATATGTACATTTGCATACATTTTGCAATATCTTATTTTACTTTTTGTAAATATATAATTTTGTAAATATTTCATTCTTTTAAATGAAATCATCTTTTTGGATTTAGGTTTTTACAAGAAATATTAACAAATACAATATGTATATATTAACAGCATGTTGCAACAATATGTTCTGTCTACACTGTAATTATTAATTTTGTTTTACTATTTTTATTACAGAACTAAAATTAATTCGAATTTTTATAACTATTTAATGTTAGAGGTTGTTCCTACGAATTTGAAATACCATTATAATATGTTAATATAACGTTAATAACTATAATTTTACTCTCCCTAGGTAGCAAGTTGACGTTAAGTTTATTGTTATCACTTTGACAACATTTAATGAAAAATGACTGCAAAATGACGATAAATGATGTCAACTATAGGTAGCAATGACCTGCAGAGTCGTTTGTTGCTCTCACGTGCTCCGTTCCCTATTGGTACGAAGAAAATGCTAATCACCTTTAGTCTGACATGATTTGACCTCACAGATCCGGAAGAAGATAAATGTATTCTATTTGTTGTTATGCTTATGAAGAATAAGGTATGCCGTTGAATGTAAATTTATTTTAGATAATAGCCCATACTGTTTCGCTTCCGAATCATTATATATATATATATGTGAATAGTAATAAGCCTAAGAAATTTAACGAGCATTTCAGTTGAGCAAAAGCGTTCATACGAAGAATATCGTGGATGTAAACTCTGTTTAATGAAAATTTTTAAATAAATTCGTTGTTGTTATACTAATGTCTTTTGTTAATATATAAAAACAAACTTTGTCTTCTATAAACAAAATTAAAAAATGTCATATAAATTATATTATTGCGGTTCAATGAATTTTATGTACTTTATACTGTTTAAAACGCTCGTCGTTGATATATATGTGTATATATTTGCATAATTTAAAATTGAAAGTAATAACTGAAGCTTTGATTTCTGTTACGGTAAGTAATTGCTTACTATCAGCTACTGATATTTTCAGTTAGAAATTAAATAGTTTATTGTTTAATTTATATGCTTTATGTGTATACTATTTTAAAAAGTAAAATTTACAGAAAGCATGTATTATCATTATCATATATAAGACAATAAAGAATAACGTACAATATATTTCTTGAAAAAATAATTGAATAATATTAATAAGAAAATATATATAAGAAAGAATTTTTTGCATATTCTAAAGATTAACTGTGTAGTTCTTAAACAAAATAAGTATTTATTTCATATTTAATATCACATTATATTATATCAATTAATACCTATTTTTTTATATTTAATATTTATTTTTAATATAAGTATAATGTACAGTTACTAATTATTTAGAAATAAATTCAATATTATGTGGCTTAGTAAAACAATAAGCTAAAAATAAATTATTGCATTTATGTCATACATAGATACATATGTATATATATATATATAT